AGGCCAACGTCTGCTCTCCTGAAGCTCAGGGTAATGAGCTTGTTGCGCACCCTCCTCGCCTCTGTAAGGATCTCAAACTTCATTCCATGGTCGCTGCAGCCAAGGCTGCCCTTGGTTCACATTCCCACCAGCCCCTCCCTGTTGGTGAGAACAAGGTCCAGCATGGCACTCCTCCTCATCGGCTCCTCTATCCCTTGGAGAAGGAAGTTGTCATCGATGCATTCCAGGAACCTCCTGGCTTGCTTGTGCCCTGCCATGTTGTCCCTCCAACAGATATTGGGGTGGTTGAAGTCCCCCCTGAGGACCAGCGTTTGAGAACGTGAGGCTGCTGCTGCTTGTAGAGGGCCTCATCTACTTGCTCACCTTATCCTAGGTGGCCTGGAGGAAACTCCCACTACTGTATCCCCTCTCCCTGCCCTCCCTTTAATCCTGACCCATACATAAGGTCTGGGTCAGCTCCTCATCCATCCCCAGGTGGAGTTCCACACACTTCAGCTGGTCTCTGATGTAGAGAGCACCACCCCCTCCACATCTCCCCTTCCTGTCCTTCCTAAAGAGCCTGTATCCTTCCATTCTGACACTCCAGTCATAGGATCCATCCCACCATGTTTCCACGATGCCAGTGAGGTCACAGCCCCTCACTCGTGCACACGCCTCCAGCTCCTCTTGTTTATTCCCCATGCTCCGTGTGTTCACACGGAGGCATTTAAAATGGGGCCCTGATGAAGACAGCTTGCTGACTGGAGCAACTGGAATTCTCTTGTTTTGCTTGCCAGGTGTTCTCCTGGTGACCTGCGATTCTTCTCCTGGCTCTGGGCATCTTCTTGTGGCTCTGCTTGTTTTGCCCCTTTCCCCCTTCCAACCTAGTTTAAAGCCCTATCGATCAGCCCTGCCAATTCACAGGCAAGAATCCTTTTTCCCCTTTGAGACAGCTGCACCCCATCTGTCACCATCCGGCCTGGTGCCATATAAATCTCCCGATGATCAAAAATCCGGAAATGCCACTGTGGGCACCAGCCTCTGAGCCATGTGTTGATCAGGTCTTCTTTCCTGTTCCTTCTGGTATCTTTCCCTGACACTAAGGGATTGAGGAAAACCCTACCTGTGCTCCTGATCCTGCAACCGTTCGCCCCAGTGCCCTGAAGTCCCTTTTGACATCTTGGCTTTGTCTCCTCAATCTCATCACTGCCCACCTGCATGACCAGTAGTGGGTAATAATCTGAGGAGTGTACCAGACCAAGGAGTCTGCTGGTGATGTCTCTTAACATGGGCCCCAGGGAGGCAGCAGACTTCCCTGTGCGATGGGTCTGGTTGGCATATTGGCCCCTCTGTTCCCCTCAGAAGGGATCATTGCCGATGACAATGACTCTTCTTCTTAAAGGAGTCGTAACGCATGGGGCTGATGGAGTCGTCCTGCGCAACCCCCTGCGTCTGCAATTGCCTGGCCCTCGAGTTCCAGAGCCCTGTATCTGTTCTGCAGGGGCAACTGGGAAGGAGCGGGAGGGCAGGAGGGGATACACTTCCCTCCCTGAGCAGGGACCTGTTTCCATTCCCCTCCCTCTCTTAGGTTCCTTACAACTGCCCAGTTCCTTCCATCTGCCCCTTCCTCTGCAAGAGGATATGGGATCCACTGCTGGCTGTGGGACCTCAATCTGCCTTTGCCTCAGGGGTGGTAGATTGGTGGAGGCAAAGCCTCTCTCCTTCTCAGACTGCCTCCTGCTCCTCAGCTTGTCCACTTCCTCCTTCAGCTCTGCCACCATGCTGAGCAGATCATTGACCTGATCACCCCTCATGCAGGGACCGTCTCTGCTGCCCGTGGGTATGAGGGACAGGCTCAGGCACTCCCTGCAGCTGGAGACCTGGACAACAGCATCCCTGAGCGGGAGCACCTCCTGGGTCACCACGTTCTTCCGAGCAATGGCTTTCCTCCAAGTGGCTACCATGGCTGGGCCCTGCCCACGCACCTCACCTGCACGAACTGCCGTGCAACTATCTGTCCATGGCCTTCCCTTCCTTCATAAGGGGGTAACCTTGTAGTAGGACATCAAATTAGCTAAACAGGACTTACACTTTGTGAATCCATGTTGACTGTGCCTGATGATGGCATTATTCTTTAAATGCCTTTCAATAGCACCCAGTATGATCTTCATATTTTTTCCAAGTTCTGAGGTTAGACTAACAGGTCTGTAGTTTCCTGGGTCTTCCCTCACACCCTTCTTGTAAATCAGAATAGCGTTGGCTAGCGTCCAGCGAGTAGGAACCTCCCCAGACTCCCACACCTTTGGTAGATGATCGAGAGGGGTCCTGCTGTAAAGTCTGCTAGCTCCCTCAGTACTCTAGGATGAATCCCATCAGACCCTATGGACATCAGCTGATACAACTGGTACCTTACAATTCAGTGCCCACAAATGGAAATTCAGTGTTCCTGCATTCGTGGTCCTCCGACTCAGGGGACTGGGCAGCTGCATCGTTCCGATAAGTGTTATTAAATGTGGATCCTAGCAGCAGAGTCCAAACCACAAACAGGGTTTGAGTGCACAAAGAGTAAACTTCATTGACAGGCTCCCCTGTTGGAAAAAGGGTGAATAACCCTGTACCCAGGTAGAGGATTCTTAGAGAAGGAGGAAGGGAAAGGAACTTAGGGTGGCAGTGAAGAGTAGATAGAGAGGGGAAGGAGTGTCACCACCTGGGGTCTAGAGACATCATGCTGCTCCCACGGCGATTCTGTGGTGGTCCAGTCCTAGGCATCAGCCCCGGCTGTCAGTCTCATTCCCCACTATGTAGGACTGCACCACTAGGCCCAGCCAGTCCCAGCGATGCTGCTGGTGAGAGGTGCAAGCTTGCGGCCGGTCAGGCGACTTTCTTCTTGCCCTGGGCTAAGCAGCACTGAGCAGGGAAGCCCCTCGTGCAGTTCGTCTCAGTCACAGAAGGCGAACACCAAGACACAGCATGAAACCACCAATGGCTCCTCCTCACTGCCTCCAAGCTTCAGACCTGCTGCGGGCTGCCGCAGCCGAGTCAGCAGTCAGCACGACACACTTTAGCAGACCACAGTGTTCGAAACAAAACGGTTTCTATGAATGTCTTGCTACAGCAGCCCAAGGTCTCTCAGTATTATTAAAGCATTGAATGCTTCTGCTTTTTCTTCCTCCCTATTACTCAGGTGACCATCTTGAACTAACTATCTGTCCCATGTTTTCTTTACACCTCCTCTTGCTATTAACATACTTTAAAAAGCCTTTCCTGTTGTCTGTCACAAAGCTGGCCAGTTTCAGCTCTTAATTGAGCTTTGGCCTTTCGTGTCTTTCCACTGCATACACAAACCACAGCTCTGTAAGCTTCCTGTGAAGCCTGACCTTGCTTCTAGAGATTATACAATTTCCTTTTCCTCTTGAGCTCCATGAGGAGTTGCTGGAATTGCTTGCTCCTGCGGTTCTTAAAAAGTGGCCAGCACTCTTGGACTCCTAAGCTCTCCAAAGCGTATTCCAGGGGACACTGCGAAGTAGCTCCCTGAATAGCTTAAAATTTGCTCTCTTGAAATCCAGGGTCCTTTTTTTTCATCATACCAATAACCTCAAACTCAACCATTTCATGATCACTGTGACCAAAAGCGCAACCTACCATCACATGTCCCACAAATATATTCACACATACTGTCTATTCACAAATAGCAAGTCTAGGAGGGCATCTTTCCTAGTTGGTTCACTGAGTGCTTGTGACAAGAAGTTTTCTTCCCCCAGCTTCAGGAATTTCCCAGACTTGCTCATCACAGCAGTATGGTATTCCCTGCTGATGTCTGTGAAGTTGAAATCTTCCTTAAGGACAAGGGCTACCGATCTAGAGGTTTCTCCTAATTGCCTATAGAATAACTCATCAGTGCTAACATCCTAGCTGGGCGATCGGTAGTAGACACCCACTACGACATCTGCTTTGCTTTCCATCCCCCTAATCCTCACCCAGAGGTTCTCAACCACATCATTACTAACTGTAAGTGTTGTATGATCAAACCTCTCACTTGAGTACAGTGCACATCCTCTGCCTCCCCTGCCCTGCCTGTCCCTCCTGAATGGCCTGTAGCCCCCCATTCCAGCGCTCCAACTGTGGGACTCATTCCACCAAGTCTCACACCAATGATATCGTAGCTGCAGGAACTGACCAATGCTTCCAGCTCATCCTGTTTGTTTCTCATGCTGTGTGCACTGGTGTACAAGCATTTCAGATGTGCTCCTGAGCCCTCCGTGCTCCCAGGAGCAGCATAGATGTTCCCACTGGCATTGCCACCTTCAGGCGATGCCATGCCAACTCTTACCTTACTCACAGCTCTCCTCTTGGTATCCATTTCCCTCATCATTTCTGGAATAAAGCCCTCTCAATCAATCCTGCCATTTTAGGGGCAAAGACGCGTTTCCCCCATCAGGATAGGTGGATCCCATCAGGTCCCAGCATACCTTGTGCCTCATAGACTGTTCCATGGTTATAAACCCAAAAGTTTTGGTGGATGTATCGGCCCTAAATCCAGGTATTGCCTGTTTCTTGCAAAGTCTCTCCTCATTACTGGGAAGACTGAGGAAAACGCTACATGTGCTCCTGAATTTTTTAGCATTCTTCCCAGGATCCTGAAAGCTCTTTTGATTGACTTTAGACTTTTTGTTGCAACATCGTTAGTACCCACATGAAAGAGCAGGAAAGTTTTGGTGGATGTATCGGCCCTAAATCCAGGTATTGCCTGTTTCTTGCAAAGTCTCTCCTCATTACTGGGAAGACTGAGGAAAACGCTACATGTGCTCCTGAATTTTTTAGCATTCTTCCCAGGATCCTGAAAGCTCTTTTGATTGACTTTAGACTTTTTGTTGCAACATCGTTAGTACCCACATGAAAGAGCAGGAATGTACTAAGCTCTTCAGTCAACTGGTGACATTCCTAATCCAGGCCCTGAGGCAGAAAACTTCCCTGAAAAGAGAGTCCAGGCTGCAAATGGGTGCTTCCATTTCACACAGGAGAGAGTTACCAATGACTATAACTTGCTGTTGTTGCTTTTCAGCACTGGTCTTAATGCAGGTCTTGTTGCAAGGAGTCGGTGAATTTGACGTTGGCGAGAATGCTTGCATGGGTTTCTTCTCTTCTATCTCATTACACTTTTTATCTATTGTATCCAGGACCTTGTACCTATTCTGTAAAGTTAGTTGAGAGGGTAAGGAGAGGTTTCTCTTAGAGCTCCATGCAGTAGCTTGCTTCCACCCCTTCTCCCTATCCCTACCTTTTGCCCTCCTCCTGCTGCAAAAAAGATCCCGGATCTGCCCCCATAATAGCCATGCTGAGTTGGCTTGTGTCCATGGGAGATGGCAGAGCACAGCTCCAGCTGTGCTAAAGTAGAAGGGACATCTGTTTAACGGACTTCTTTAAGGGACGATTTTAGCCAAAGAACAGTGTCTTGTTTCTGTCTTGTTTGTGCTGTGAGTCGTGTCTCTGGAGACAGGAGATAGGGAAATAGGAGGGAAGAAAGTGTGGTTCTCTGATTTTAAGATTCTCAGTGCCATGTGACAGGCTTGCATGAATTCTTATTTCTGTCACGACAATTCTTACTTGCGGAGTTTAACAGCTCTTCTTTACAGTCATACTTTGTTCTGTCTAGAGCGCTGTGCTGCACACGCCGTCAGCAGGCTCAGGTCTTGTCATAGATACGGCATGGAGAAGGCACGGGAAGAAGGTGGCCTGTTCTGTATTTTCGGTGCAGTTCAACACTGAATCCATAAATTTTTTTACTATTTCTTCTTGTTTTTCTCTCCCATATATCCATTGTAGTGGGATGAGGTAAGCGTCCTGGACGACAAGAAGCGCCCGATCCGAACCTTTGACGTCTGTAATGTGGCTGAACCAGGTCAGAACAACTGGTTGCGTACTCACTTCATAGAGCGCCGTGGAGCCCACCGAGTCCATGTCCGCCTCCGTTTCTCGGTGAGAGACTGTGCCAGCATGCGCACTGTGGCCTCTTCTTGCAAGGAGACTTTCACAGTCTACTACCACCAGTCGGAGGCTGACATAGCCTCTCAGAACCTGCCAGAGTGGCGTGAGGGCCCCTGGACCAAAGTGGATACTATTGCAGCTGATGAAAGCTTTTCTCAGGTGGACAGCACTGGGAAGGTGGTAAAGATGAATGTTAAAGTACGTAGCTTTGGGCCACTCACCAAGCATGGCTTCTACCTGGCCTTCCAGGACTCAGGAGCCTGCATGTCCCTGGTGGCAGTCCAAGTCTTTTTCTACAAGTGCCCAGCTGTGGTGAAAGGATTTGCCTCCTTCCCGGAAACTTTTTCTGGAGGGGAGAGGACTTCACTGGTGGAGTCACCAGGGACGTGTGTACCAAATGCTGAAGAGACAAGCATGACTGGGTCTTCAGGTGTTCGACTACACTGCAATGGAGAAGGGGAGTGGATGGTGGCCATTGGACGATGCACCTGCAAAGCTGGCTACCAGCCTGTTGATGATGAACGAGCCTGCCAAGGTGAGAGACCCCTTTTCCCCATCCGTTAGGCAGCCATTTCTTTGCTGGTTCTCTGTATTAGTAGTACTTGGCATTTGCCCGAAGTTCGCAGAGCTAGGAGATTAAATCGTTTCCCACAGAGAACGCTTACTAGCACCCTCTTCTGACACTTTTAGCGCTTCAGACTGGAGTTGGAGCAACCACTTCTTGGTGCTAAGGACATGGTTGGAATCTCCACCCCTGTTAGGCTGCATCTGCAGAATTAGCAGGATTTGTAATTAGCCAGCTCTAACATAGTTCCACTTCTTTACCAAGAGGCAAAAGCGTTAGAGGAGACATTCCACATGGAACAAAGCTGAGCCCAGAGCTAGTACACTCTACCATCCTAACTAGTTTGGGCTTTTTTGCTAGTGCCGTTGGAACTAGTGATAAAAATAAGAAAGGGGAAATGACAGAAGCCTGGTCATGGGACAGGGACCATGCAGCAGGGGGATCTGTGAGGCCCAGTAAGAAAAAACTCATAATGGTATTATCATTGCCTCTAATGTGCTCTCTGCCCTGGGGCCTATAGTATTTTCTGTGAAATGCTTGTAGGAGAAAGTAGAATAAATTACATATCACCCAGTAATGATATTGGGCCAAAATCTTGCCAACCCTGAACACCCAATCTAATATCATGACTGTCTTCCTTTCTCAAACTTAAGACAGTCCATTAGACCAAGTTGCTTAGGTTGGTTGTCTAATTTTGTGTATAATGCCCCTCTGGTGCTTCCTTGGTTTTAGTGTGCATCTACTCAAGATCTCTCAGTGACGTAAAATGTTGCTGTACCACACAGTACACTAAAAAATTTCAGGTATTGTGGAATCTAATTTTGGCTGCAGTTTTAAAGTTGGTTTGTAATTTATTCAGGTAAGAGTTCAGCTGAGACACTGAGACTACAAATATTTTGGTTAACACCAAGTGCAAACTCAGTGGAGAGTTAATGGCTGTCAATATGTTACCTTAAATTCCCATTTCATGAAGTGGTTGGGGTCATGCAAAATAAATTTATTAAAATACAGTTTGTTGTGCTGGAGACTTATAAAGCAATTAATATTGGTAAGTGCTTTTTATTTGGTTAAGCTTTGAGAATGATTAAAATGCATGTGCTTTTTATCCTGCCCATCCTGAAAAAAATGTAAGTACATTCATATAGCGCTGCTCCCGAGACAGAAAGCTCAGATGGACTTAGGGCAGCTCTATATGGCACTCGCTTAGTTGCCTGCATCAGTAGCATGACTAGTTCAGCAGCATGAGCCAGGTAAACTGCCAGTCAATAATTTAGTGTCAGATAGTAGTCTTAAGCACTCCAAAAATACGGAAATTAGGCTTGGCAAATAAAAATAGGGATTTTTACAAAATCTGTCTTCCATTTTTTGTAGCATTCAGTGAAAGCTGATACTCCCTTGCAGTCCCATTATCATAGAAGCTGGAGATAGATTAAAACAGTAAATATTTTAAGGCATAACTAAAATAATGACAGTCTATCCCACTAAGAAACACAGTTCCCGTCATTTACTTCCTGAGATTCCATGAGCAGCTTAGAACAGCCAAAGACACCCAAATAATGAACGTTAATATTAGAAGGTATTCTTTCTCCTCGTGTTTCTTGTAATCTCCTCTGTCTTGATCACCATTCCTGGTCTCTTCTTCTTCTAACAATATATTGGTGTCCTGTCTGAATGGATCCACATTCAGCTAGCTTAGTTTGTCCCTTTGCTTGGCGTTTCTTTGCATGGAGTCCTTTCCAGGACTACTTCTCTGTATGTTCTCCCATCTTCCTAAGGACAGAAGTGATACAGAGTTGCTATAGCAATAGCAATAGCCCTACTGATGATCCTGCAGAGACCTCTTCTTAATAAAACCGAAGAATGAACCGAACATGGAAAGGAGAAGAAAGGTTCCTACTTAACACTTAAGTAGATGAGTGTGTGGGCATTGCCTTCCCCCTCACCATATGGAAGCTGGTGGAGTCCTTACTGGACCAGCTGTTACCTCTTTATTTAGAACAAAGAATCTGACAAGAACCATTCTGAGCAGATAGATAGAAAGCCCTTTTATTTCCTGCCCCCTACCATGAGTTAAGATACTTTCATTTCAGTCAATACTGTTTGATTAGTTTCATAAAACAGCCTGCTGTCTTTTACTATATGACCAATTTCTCCAGCTAAGTAGAAGAGTGAAATAACATCCTTTAGTAAGCCCTCTAGGTGATGTGGAGTGTGTGTGGGATTCTCTTTTGACTTTATCCAAGTAGATTTTTTTCTCATGTTGAAGACATGAGAAAGAAGACATGAAGATACTATCTCACTAAGAAAGGAGAATAGTAGTTTGCAGAGGAACAGGGAAGGTTGGGACCTTAGCTCCTTTTCCTTCTGTAGATGTATATACACAGGGTGCTTTGCCTTGCAAGTTTTCCTGAAATTCTAAGTTGTCTTCCACATAGAAGGCCAGAACAGGTAGGTTCTGGGTGATCAGGTCATCCTAGGCTACTAGTTCCCAAAATTCTGGACTGATTGGCTGTTCTCCCACATCTGACATCGACAGATTCATTACTGAAAACGGTTGTTCTGGGATTCCATCCCCGCAAACGATTTTACAAAACGATGTTTCTTGAGATGCAGTGCCCACTGCTTATCATCAGCATTTAGCTAAAAGTCACATGGGGTTCAAGTTACCAGATGCTTTGTAACTTATACTTAGAAATCATGACTGAGACGTTTTAAAAAATATTTCGAAAATGACATGTGGGAAAAAAAAAGATAAATAACTACTTGGTAAAGTGCTAAGCTGACTTCCAAATGAAGAAGTAAGGTAAGCTTTTAGCTTGAAAAATCATAGAAATAGAACTATTAATAATATGCCAGGGTTTTTTTGGTTTTGGTTTTGTTTTGTTTTGTTTTTTTTTTCACGTCCAAATACAAATTCATTCCAAGTCAGTTCTGCCAGTCAAGTTCCATGTCTGTATTTCTACTCAGTCTCATAGCAGTATCCAGTATGATGTTTGTCTCACATCACTGAAAACATGCCAATACCGTATCAGTATACTCCTACATCTGCAGTTACCCTTCAGCTACTCACTTGCTGTTTCTGTAGCTCAGAGGACTGACTTTTCTCCCTTTATCCATCTTTGATGGCTGAAGGAGAGCAGATCACAGGTCTACAGGAGAAAAGCATAGATGGAACCATATTTAGAAAGGGCTAGAGTGGAGGGAGGTATTTCAGTCAGGAGATTGGGGGCAGGCCTTTGCATCCTTGTTGAAGTCCCCTTGTTGGACTTGGCCTGCTGATCTCCATGTTGGGTATCATGGTGTATTGAGTTTACGTGGCAAGGTTCTGGTATTGGTGGGGGCTGACGGGGTCAAGAGGGAAGGGGCTGTCCTTTTTCAGGCAGCTCCACAATGGACCCACCACAGAACAGAGCTAAGCCCATTACCCGCATGTTTGGCACCTCTGCACAAGCGTACTTAAAAAGGGGCAGAAAACACCAGCCAGAGAGAGGATTCCTCCGATTCTTCCCCTCTGCTGGAGGAGGAGAGGGGAGATCTGTGAGAGCGGCTTCGTGGTATTTTGCTAGCTGGGTTAAGCCACGACATAAACAATGTGCTTCCTCACCAGCCTGGATAAACTTGTTTTCAAAAAAGTTCCCTGCAGTCTTCCCAATATATAACTAGCTAGTAATTTCTTCAGCTGTACCTCTTTACCTAAAAATCCCTTATTCAACTGATCTTCTATCAACAGTTCAGCAGAAAACGGTTCTTAGTCACTTCATTTATTTTATCTCAGTTGATTTGATGCTCTCCCTTTCCATTTAAAAAACCCAAAAGCCACACTCTTCTCTCCTTATATTCCTTTCATTTCCCCCTCTGTTCCCTATCTAAACAGTTGTAGAAACTATAAAACTCTGCACCAACCTAGAGCCCTACCACTTCACCATACCTGGCTTCTAACTCTGGTTGGTCCCACCTTATTCAGAACAAGATGCACGACACTCACAGTCCCTGTGGAATAGCCTGCCCCAGGGGGAAATTACTTGCTATCACCATAAGTTAGTCATAGACTTATTTTGGGGGTAGGGGGAGGAGGAGTGTTTTATCTAAAAGTTACTGAGACTTTTGTTTTCTAGGGTGTGCCATCTTTCTTGCATTATAAGAGAATAATGTCTAAATCATATTTCTACAATATTATAAATTATTAAAACCTTTCCATCATCCTACCCTCTGAAATTCCACCCCTCTTTCCAGCTGATTCAGTTCAGCGTTTATTCTAGCAGTGCCTCCTATTTTCTGGTTAAAGAAAGTGGCATGGCCCATACCAGTTGCCTTTTCTTTTAAACTCCATGCTGGTTCTGCTTTGCCTGGAGCCATTCTCATTTGAGGCCCTTTGTAGATCTGCACATCCAGTTTTCCCTAGGCCTCCGATTCAGCTGTGTCCATTCATCCCTCCCAGTCTGCCCCCATGGCCAGTGTTCGTGCTGTTCACTTTTTACACTCTTAGGTCTAAGATGCAGCCTTGCTGCCCCACAGTACACCAGGAGAACTCCCATATGAGAAAGCCAGCACTTGTCTCAGTCAGGAAGAGCGCAATTGTGTGCTCTTCCAAATGTTTTCCTATGCCCCAGCTCAATTCCAAATCATTCCTGGGTACAGAAAGTCAGAGTGCCACCTGTATCTCATTCTCTAAAATGAGAGCACATAAAGCTTGGAGTACCTAAAGCTGTTTCTCACTGCCCTTCGTGGCCCCTCTCCCCTTGCTGTATTTCTTTTGCTCCCAGAATATTTTCTCTCTGCCCTTACTGCCCAAGTGAGCTTTTCAATGCCTCTTCCTCTCTAACTTCTTTGGTTCTTGGTCTGTCCCCTCCCCAGTTTCATTTTCTTCACCTTCCTCCCCCGAGACTGCACGATTCCAGCACTTTTCTCTGCTGGTTTTGATATTTGTTGTTGTCACAAATCTGTCAGAGACTGCTCCCCTGGTCTCCTGG